ATTCAGTTATGATTATTTTTATTCAATTTTTTTCTATTATTCTGAAGTTGTAGAGCATAAACCTCAGAATTGTAATCAATTTTAGTATGAGATTATTTATGAAAGGTAAACGAAATTTTCTTTGCAGAAGATTATCTTCTTTTCAATTTTGAGAACATAAAATATTTGAATTTTGTGAGATTTTCAAATTTGAATGTGATCGAAAAAAAGGAGATTTTTTGTTTTATCATGAATATCATCAAAAATTAGATTTTGTTAAGAAAATTAAGTTTTTAAGCAAATATAAATATACAAGCTTGAGGTTTTTGAAAATATGCGATTATGTATTGAGATATCAAATATTTTGAAAAACATTTTGGAATTAACAAACAATCATTGAATATATAAATAGTCCAATATTATTAATTTGAATGGAAATGATCAAACTTCATTTAGGAAGTGAAATGATCGTTTAATAATTCATTGAAAATAAAAAAAATATTATCTAAATCATTTTAATTATGCAAAAGATCTCAAATAAATCATTTGGAGGGGAACGTCCATTATTTAAATCAGCCAATATTTATATTGAAAATATTATCATCCAACCAGGAGAATCTGCTGTAAAAGAATTACAAAATATCACATCAGTCCATTGTGAATTTAATGGCAAATACCCATTTTGGTATAATAATAATACAATAATTTCAAATTGTATTTTCAATGAAAGATTCATTGGTTAATGCACGCACAAGAAACTTTTTGGTTTTGCAAAAATCTCAATCTAACTAACATTAAAACTCAAAACGCAGATTACATTTTTTTGAACAACAATAATGCTGTGATTGATAACATTGAATTATTCGGAAACTATTCATTTTAATATTGTAAAGAAGTCACAGTCAAAAAATCAATCATTCATTCAAAAGATGCCTTCTGGAATGCAGAGAATGTTACAATTTATGATTCTATTCTAAAAGGAGAGTACTTAGGATGGAATTCAAAAAACTTAAAACTAGTTAATTGTGAAATATCTGGAACTCAACCATTTTGTTATTGTGATAATTTAATTATGAAAAATTGTAAAATGGATGAATCATGTGACTTATGTTTCGAGTATTCAACTTTGGATGTCGAAATTCATTCTACAATACGAAGTATCAAAAATCCAACAAGTGGTTCAATAAAAGTAAATGATTGCAATGAAATTATTATTGACAAAAATGTAAGAGAACCTAATAAGTGCTTGATTAATTTCTGGAATGATACCACTTAAAATTTAACCAAAAATGAAATGAAAATTTTAATTAAAGATATTTAATTATATTTTATAATATTAATTTTCATTTAATTTTTTGAGATGAATTGCAAAATTTAAAAAGCCTTATTTAAATATTAAATATTTAATAGTATGGTCTCAAAAAGTAGACACCAAAATCTGGTAAATTTAGAAATTAAATAAAATTGATCCTAACAATGTGTAGTAGTGATATAAGTAATCTTCGATAGTTATAAATATTTATGTAAGCAAATCTCCATTTGATGGTTTGAGGATTTTTGAGAAGTTTTTTCCCTCCATTGAGGAATTTTCAACTCAAAATGCTTGTATTTATGTAATTTTAGAAAAAAAAAAAAAAAAAAAAAAAAAAAAGTAAGTTTGGATATTTATTACTTTTTGTTTAATTAAAAAATAAAGATAAAAAAAAATAAAAATACATACAAAAAAATAAAAAAAAAAGTTAAGCACCTTCTTTTGCTTTTGCTTCAGTTCTAGCCTTCCAAATAGCCAAGTTAGATTGAACTTGTTTCACATTAACTTCTAGAGGAGGTATTGCCTTTGCCACTGCCTGATACAAAGGCAAGCAAACGAATGTGTAGAAGCCAATCTGGCTCTTTGGTTTATCCAAGTGAGAACGATCATTCAAAGGTGAAGTGTACTCCATTCCATTTGCCATTTCAAGGTCCCCCTGTCTAAAGAACTCCTCGCAGAGCACGTCGCACCATTTGTCAGCCAATTCGAAAGGCCTTGCGACGTTCGAAATGTCGCCAGTCTTCAAAATCATCTGCATTACTAAAACTCTCTGTTCGGGGTCTTCCATTGAAAACTTTCCACTTTTGTAAAGCTCGTCGAACTTTTTGAGAATGTCAAAATGTCTTGCCATGTCAGTTGCAAGGATCAACTGAATGAAAATTGTCCACATCTGACTGTATTCTTGTCCATTGAGGGTTGAGAAGATGTTACATTCCTCCTTTGATATGATTCCGATTGACGTTTGGCAATGGTGAGTTTCCATGACGCTCTGGTTCTTAAACAAGATACCCAGAGGTGTTTCAGCCTTAACGTTATAAACGTTAGAGAAACCGTCATGATTAGCATCGTGACAAATCGCTGATACAATCAAAGCGAACAATTCAAACTTAGTCAAAACTTTGTCGTAATCAGCGTAAATCACTTGATAAATGACAAATTGCGTTACGTCAACTGCATGACGCCAATTGTGATATGGAACTTTATTATAAGTGTCACGGATTTCAGTGATGAACTTGAAAAGTCGATCGTTTGTAATTTGATATTTTTCTGATAAACCGAAACGGTTAAATATTGAAAATAAGACTTTTATATGGCCTGCGCCATCCCACGCTTGTGCATCAAAATCAACAGTCCAAATGGTCGGATCATTAATTAATAACTTGGTTGGAATTCGGCCAATTAAGCTCCTTTCATCGTCGGATATCCACTGTTTCAATTCCATCTCGCCTTGGCCGAGCGTTGCCAGATCCATCAGTTGAGAACGCTCGATAGAAACAGCAGCGAAGACGGCAAAACAATCCAATAATTTAATGTCTTCAGTCAAGATTTTTCCACTGCTTTCAAGCTCAATAATTCCGAGAGGAGTCTGATCACTGCTAAAAAGTGGAATGTCGCAAATAACGTTTTCAACCGTTTTTGTAACGTCTGTATCTTCAAGCTTCGCATCACGTTCAATGAAGTTTGCAATTCTGCCTCTGAAATTGCTTTGACTTGCGTTAACGTTCGCCGCTGAATTGTCATCGGTGTTGTTCTCAATTCCCATGATTTCTTCGTATTCGCGGGCAGCTTGAGTGCCCGTTGTTTGGTGGACGATACTGTTTATTTGGTCGCCGATGAACATGCGAACAGCGCGGCCAGCGATTGTCTCTTGAGCGAAGACGTCTCCGTGAACAACTCTTTCGCCAACGTTGATCAATTGTGTGAAAGAACGATCAGTTGTATCGTAAAGAAAAAGTGTCGCTCTTTGTGCATTCACGATTTTGGAAACGTTTTGTAAGATCTGATAAAGAACGTTTCTAATTGTGTCGGTGTGGCCAATTGCAGCGGAAAGATCGACGAAGGTACGAAGCTGTCTAGTCAAGTCAAGCGACGCGTTATACAACTTTGCATTATCAAGTGAAATCCCACAAAAGACGTTAAAAGCCATCAGCATATTCAAATCGTCGTCATTGAAAATTGAACCGTCGATTTTGTTGATCATTTCAGTAACGCCAGCAATTTCACCTCTGTTGTTGAAAATCGGCACACACAAAATTGAACGGGTACGATAGCCCGTCTTAATATCAACGGTTTGGTCAAAACGGTTGTCAAGATAAGCATCGGGGATGTTGATGATCGCGCCGGTTGTCGCTGTGTGACCGACAATACCTCGGCCGATAGGAATTCGAATGGAACGATCAAGACCGCCTTGAAAACGAGACACGAGCTCCTGTTTGGCCGCGTCGACCAGAAAAAGTGAACAACGATCAGCATTCAAAAGTGAGCAGGCACGGTCCATGATCGTCGGTATCAGAACATCAATGTCAAGCACTCCGCTAAGGACTTCTGCAACCTCTAGAAGAGCGGTTAGCCGTTGTTCGAAGTCATCAAGTTGTGCCTCAAATTGCGGAGGTGACATCGACGCACACATCGACTCAATGACAAATGGAATAACCGCCCGTAATTCCGACGAGTCAGAAGAATGAAATGACGATGGATTGGCCCTTCCTCGAAGAACAACCGTCCAAATTCGGTTTTGCGTGTCAAAATACGGTTGGGCTAAAATGGGCTCATCCAAATAACCGTCTGACACTTCGTTGTAGCTCTCATGAAGTCTGACAGAGCGTTCATTGACACTGCAGCATTTTGACAGGCAATAACCGGCAACGCCAGCTTTGACTGGGTCTAGCTGGATTGGAACTTCACGATCCGGCTCAAAACGGAAAAATTGGGTCTTGCTCGGATTATGAAGCCAGATTTCAGCTTTTCGACAACGAAAATGATTTTGAATGGTGACCGTTAAGGTTCGGACTATTGAGGGAAATGTAGATAATTCAACTAAGTCGAGAGCGGTCTTCATAAGCGATCGGGGAGAAAATAAATATGAGCTGTAGAGTCGGAATTTTTTGAATAAAGCTTTCACAGTTTGTACTTCTCTTTGATCAAAGGGTTGTTGGGGTGGAACTCGTGCAAGTTGTACAATTCCTTGAACTGTTTTATCACGCGCTACAAGAGGGAAATATAATATCGATGCATTTGGTATAATTAATTGAGTATCACTTTTTTCATTATAATTTGGATGATTTGACATAGGATTGCTACAAACTATTGACGCGGTTTGGAATATAAATCCAAGTATACCTTCTTTGTTTGATGCAAAAACTTTGTTCGTTGGCGAATATAGACTATTTCGAATTGGTATATCTACCCATAAGCAGACAAATGGAGAATTTAAATGTTTTCCTAAAACTTTTTCAACAGCTTCATTTAATGGGTGCTTTTGGAATTCAAAAATAATGTCATCAAAACATTCGGATGGAGGTCGTGCTAAAGGTTTAAGTCGAGTTTTGTTCGCAGGTGTAAAAATTGATTTTCGATCTGGATTCATAGATGGGGGAAGAAAAGGCATTGAAATACTTGCCTTTGTTGCCATGAGAAATTTGAAATTTGAAATAACGAAAAAATAAAAATCATTCAAAAAAAATCGTTAATTTGAATAAACGAAAAAAATGGGGTCTGGCGGGATCCGAACCCTCAATCTCATCCTCCGGAGGGATACGCTATATCCAATTAAGCCACAAACCCGTTTTTTGTTTTGAAAATAAAATAAATATGTATGAAAATAAATTCATTATTTGAGAAGGAAAATTTTTAAAAGTTATAACTTTTAAAAAATGAAAAAAGACGAAATTGATAAAGTTCTTCAGATTTTAGATTTTGCCTTAAAGCATCCCATTTCAAATTCATTTAGAAACTTGGCTAGAAATGGAGAAGAATATAGTCTTGAAAAAGTTAGAGAAAGAATTGCAAATAATTACTATTCTACACCAAAAGAAGCTTTAGATAAAATTTATGAAACTATTGATTCAAATGCAGAAATTGATTCCAATGAAGATGTTGTAAACTTTTTAAAACGTCTTGGAAAACAAGTTAAAAAATTGCTTAAAAAGAAAACAAAATTATTATTTTCTTCGCCAAGAGATTGGGGATTAAAAGTTACAAAACTCAGATCCAAATTAGCATATTTAACAGCGCATCCTCCAGCATCAGTAAAAACATTATGTCAATGGCCAACGAGACCTTATATTGTAAAACCTCAAATTGAATTTGATGGTGCAGATAATCTAAAATATATCGCAGAGTGTTTGAATGATCTTCAAAAAAGTGAGGAGAATGAATCAATTCTTAACCAAGTGAAACAAATTATTGAAGAAAAAGAGCCTGGATTGTTTGAAAGAAAGGGAGAAATAGAAATTAATGTTGCAGAATTAAACCACTCAACTATATTAGAACTGAAAAAATTTTTATTTTCGACAAATCAAATCTGATCAATGTTTTATTATAATTATTTAATTTACTTCTTAGGTATAATGATGTTTTTATGATCCTTATTCAGAGAGAACTAATTCTTTTATATAAAATTTGCTCTCTTTTTCATTTCAAATGTCATTCTTTTTTTTTAATTCGTTTTTTTATGAGTGAATTCGAGAATAATAAATCAAACAATCAAGTTGAATCGACTGAAGATTTATGTACTGAATCAATTTTCCAAGGTCCGAGTGAATTTAAGACAACAGCCACTGTTGGTCCACCATTTTTTATAATTGAAAAGGAAAAGCAAGTTAATATTACAGATTTTTTGCATATTTTGCTTTCATCTTTTAAAGATTTAACAGCAATACCGACATCATCATGTGAAAAAGCTTATCCGCCACTTTTAAGGAAAGCTTTTTCTCGAGACGAAATCAGACGCATTAAAAAACAATCAGAAGTTTTTTCTCAAAATAAAGATTTGAGTATTGAAGAATTAAAGAAAAAGATATCTATGATTCCCGATTTTTCAAGCAAATATGATTATCTTTTAAAAGAAGATGATTTTAAATAGAGCCTAGGCTATTTTTTATATAACTGTTATTATGAATATTACTAAATTATTTTATTTAATGTTTCCTTTGTGATTTTTTTGCTTTTCAAATTTAATTTTTAGATTTTTTATCATTATCTCGAAAATATTATTGTTTGTTTGTATTTATTAAGCATTTCAATAAATACTTAATAAATACAATCTTTTCCTTTCATTAAAAATCATTCAACTTCAAAAAGCATTTGTTGTTATTTTCATCTATGCTATCTCTGATATTTATCTATGTTATTACTGTAATTTTAATGTATCAAATCAGTTAAGTATTCCCAAAAATTGTTTTCTAATCAATTCTCTTTCAATTTAAATTAAAATATAGTTTAAAAACCATACTTGAACATATAATTTCTTTAATCATTATATTATCAATTAATTTAATAAAAAAATTTAATATTTTACAATATAATTTAATATTTTTATTTGAGGTATTTACAAATTTCAGAAAATTTACAGAAAGTAAATATTCTTGAATGTATAATTCACCTTCACCAGGCACCAACATTCTACTTGCAGCACAATATAACCTCGTTATTGCTGCATTCGATCTTCAAACTGGCCAAGTTGTCAAAGAATTTGAGATATCTAATTCTCAAGCCAATAAAATGATTAATTCTCCTGACCATCGTTTTTACGTTGCTTCATATTCATATGTCTTCGCATATGATTTTGAATCTAAATCGCATAAACCCATTCAAAACACGGTTGCGCACGAGGGAAATGTCTCTGACATAGTTTTATCAAATTTTGTGATGCTAACATGTGGAGATGATAAAAAAGTCAAGCTTTGGGATATTCGAACAAATACGTGTCAACTTACGGTTAATACAAAATCACAAAATAATGCAATTGTTTACTACCCTGATACTTATAATCAGTTAATTGTGGGTGACGAAAATGGTTATATCACTTCTTACGATTTAAGAACAAATAATCGTCTTAAAGAAGTCAAAGTTGATAATCTCCCAGTTCGAGCAATGTCACAGTCTGTTGATAATATTCACTTTATAGCCGCCATGCAAAGTGGAAACACAAAATGTTTCCAAGTCAACTCTTCTCAACAATCTCAGCCCCAAGCTCAATTATCTATTCTTCAGCCTGCATCCACAGCCCAAAATTCTGATTCTTCAAATAATGCTGGGTTTGATCCATTTTCTGAACTTTATAGTATTCATGCTCATAATGATGTTCAATTAAACTGTTGTTATTCTCCAAATGGTCAATTGTTTGCTACATGTTCATCAAATAATACTGCCAGAATATGGGATGCACATTCTGGTGATATGAAACAAAACTTAGTCCCAAGTGAAATGAGAGAATGGATTTGGGATATTTGCTTTACTCCAGATTCATTAAATTTGTGTATGGGTGGTACCGATGGTATATGCAAACAATATGACGTTGAAAATGGAAGAATTACAATGTCACTTCCAAAACTTGATAAGATTGTGTCAGCAATTACGGTAATGAAGATTTAAACTTTGTTTTTTGTTCTTTTATTTAATTTTTTTTTTTTTTTTTTTTTTTTTTTGTTAAATAACGACAATAAGCATAGTATTACTCTAAAAATACATGAAACTTGGTTATCTTTATATATATATCAATTAAGCGATGAATAGCATTATAATTCAAAAAGATTTTTTAAAATGAGCTGTGAAAATAAGTTAATATTATAAAGATAGAGGGTGTGATATATATAGATAGATTAAATTGAATTATTATAATTATATATATATACAATAAATATATTTTACATTGTTTCAAATTGAGTGGGAGCAAGGTCATCTGAGTTTGCCAAACACTCTAATAGCTTAATATTTTCTTCATCAATTTGTTCATAATTATTATCAACAAAAGAGAAATCATCAAATATGTTAGAAGGGATGTCACTTCCCATAGAAGCATAAGAATCTGCTGGGCATTCTCCCATGATGTTTTCATCTATGTTCAATTTATTTGCAGGTGGAATGTATGTTGGTTTTATTTTTTTTTCTAAAACGTCATTAAAATTGATACCAGCAAAAAATGGATGATTTTTAAGTTCTTCGAAAGTCATTCGTTTTTTTGGATCTTTCTCTAAAAGTGATGTTATAAATAAAAAAGTAATTTCTTCTTCTGAAATTTCATTACTATTTATGGGTATTTCATGTTTCTTTGGACTTCTTTCGTGATTTTTATTCGAAACTGGGAGTGATTTAACTGATCTGATACTTGCACTGCTTCTATTGAAGTTGGTCCTCGATCTTTTTGAATGATGCGATTTTTTATGTAAAGAATCTTGTGTTAATGATTTTGAGTGAACTAGAGCAGGAGCTTTTGAAAATTTTGAACGATCAAAAGGAAATATAGCGTTTGCAGTACATATTAACTCAAAAAGTTTACAACTGTTGGGATGTTTAAAAGGCTTATCTTTAAAAAGTAATTCATATGCTAATATTCCATACTGCCACCAATCAGCTTCGTAACTGTAAGGAATTCTCTTGATCATCTCTGGAGGTATGCACTCTGGTGTTCCAACAAAAGAATGAGTTGTGTTATTTGTCGATGGGTCATCAAAAAGAATAGAGAGCCCGAAATCAGCTAATTTAATATGTCCCTCATGGTCAAGAAGAATGTTTGCGCTTTTTAAATCTCTATATATAATTCCATTTTGATGAAGATAGTTCAATGCAATTGCTATCTCAGCGAGGTAAAGTTTTATATCGTGTAATGGAAGTTCTTGGTTTTCTTCTTTTAAATGATGTTGCAAATTACCTCCGTTAACAAATTCAAGACCTAAGTATAGCTTTGTCTCTGTGTCAAAAGCAAAACTTATTTTTGTTATAAAGGGATTATTGCACTTACGGAGTATTTCCCTTTCAATATTCACTGAATTTAATTTTTCTTCTTCTTGAAGAAGTTTCTTTTTAATTGATTTTATAGCAAAGAGATAATTTGTGTTTTTTCTTCTGCATAACATTACTTTTCCAAAATACCCTCTTCCCAAAACAGAAATAATATCAAAGCAATTCATAGTGAGCCCATTAGTAGTTAAAACAGCCTTTCTTAACGTATCATAAAAGTCATCTCTTAAATTTTGCTTCTGGGTTAAAAATGTAGTAGTTTTATCAGGATGAATGAGTGTCAATAAAAATGAATTTTTATTTGCTGGGATATCTTTTTTAGTAACAATAGTATCTGCAGTAATATCAATTATTCTTTCAACTTTTGATTTTTTGATATTTTTATAAATAATAAGTTGATTGGTATTCTTGCTAAATTCACATAGCCTTTTATGTAGAAGGCCAACCTTAGAGCCCTTTTTTAATAATATTGCCGAAATTGGAATTTGGTCGTCCATTCAAAATGATGTAAAAATGATAAAAAAATCGATTAATTTTTTTTCATTGATTTAGAAATCTATATAAACTTATCAAATTTTTGTTAAACGATATAGAATTGAGTTCTTATTTTTTTTATGATTTGAATAAAAAAAAACGTATGATCTTTATTAAATAAGCTATATAATTATCAGTATAAATAACAATTTATGGTACAAAGAAATAGTCTCAATTTGATTTAATAAAAATTTTCGGAATATTTCAATACTTTAAATAATTTTTCTAAGGAGCAATTGTGTGTAGAGATCTCAATTTTTTTTTTCAATGAACAAAATATAATACTTTTG